CACCAAGATTCCTTACACTCTCACTGGAGGCCAAATTAATGCCATCCATAGTTAGTATATCTTTAGATAATTTGTTTCGTAGATTCTTTGGGCCGAGTACAATCACTTCAGTTTTGGCCGTGTTTAACATACAAAAATGTAAGGTCATCCACGTTGTTTAGTCCTTGAGGCAGTCTTGAATTGTATTTAGATGGTTGGATTCATTAGGCTTGATTGATAAATATAGTTGAGTCATCCACAACAGTCCCTATACAGACTGAGCTACTGCAAGAGATCATGCATTCAAGCCTGAAAATCATGCTCAATGGATAAAAGCTAATAATTATCAGCTCCCTTTCCACTGTTTTATTGTGTTATTTTAAGCTCTATGGTTGCAATAAGCAAGAACTTATTTTTGTCTCACTTTGGTGCGGAAGCACGAGAGTGGCCTGCACTAAGCCCTTACCTTAGAGGTAGGGTAGGTAAGTTTGAGAAACCGGCTCGAGATACACTTTTTGTTATATTCCATGGAATGCTCTTAACATCCCGATAGCAATGAATATCTTAAGTGCTTTGACAAAAAAATCCATAAAAAAATGTCATCTGTGGAAGCCGTAATACTGTAAAAAGTACGACCAATCATTTTAGCCGGCCCGGCTAAAATAACTGGATGGCCTACCTGCCTGTCAGCCTTCCATCTGTGCACAAACTTATCTCGTGCCCTCATTGGTCATGTGCGCGTTCGTGTGTGTTGGAGGAGGGGCTCTATAAGGAAGTGGCAGATTTTCTCCGGTTGTGTATTTTCAAATTCTAGCGATCTCGAGCCGGTTTCTCAAATGTACCTACCCTACCTTTTACCCCATCCAAAAATGTCAACACTGACGGTGATCCCCCTTGGAAATAACGGCCACATGTACTTTGCGTCATAATGCCGTTGTTACTGAAAGGAAGGAAATCCTGGCAGAGTAATGTCTTGGAGCACTCACAGCAGCATTACATGTAGTACTGTTATCTCAACACCAGGAGGCAGCATTAACAAAGCCTGTGCTGTTGACCCATGTCTGAATATATTCCTGCCATCTGTTGCAGCTGAATTCCTCGGAAAGATGAACAATTGCAACCTAAGAGTATTTTACAACAATCCCGTAGAAATAAACATGGGTATTGATGTGTATTTTAAAGAATTCCTTTATAATAATCACCTTGAAAAGTTCATCAGTGTGCCCGGCTCTCTGAGCCAATATTCATATCTTGAAGAAAAAGGTATGAATATTTAAAGGTCACCTATTATGCAAAATCCACTGTTTCATGTCTTTTATACATAAACACGTGTCCCCTCTGTGTAAAGAGACTTTGAAAGTTTCAGGAAAAAAGATTGGCTCACTTTTTGTCCTGATCCATTTATATAAAAACCGGTCTGAAAATGAGCTGATGATGTTTTATGATGTCATAACGATTTTTTGGCTTGTGTAACCATTAGCCAATAACCAACCAAGGTACTCCTCACCTTATCACCTGAATCTCCTCCTAGAGCACCATTGTGTTTTTTTTAACCAAATATCTCTCAGAGGGGCGTGGGAAGTGGCTCCTTATTTTCATCTAAAGTAAAAGACAGAGAATCAGCACTTTTGAAACAGGGCTGAAACAGAGGGGTTTATGGGATACTACAATGCATGATCTGTTTGGTTTTTGGAGCCAAACACTTCAGAGACATGTTTGTATATATCTGAGACCTATAATATATTGATGAAAAACAGTATAATAGGGGACCTTTAATTTATATGTTGATGTAGCAGCCACTGTGTGCACCAGGCTAATGAAAAATAGACTATAAGAAGAAACAATGTAACCGGAAAATATACGAAACCATTGTTTCCTTTTGACAAGTTTTCTGTTGTTTGTTATGCTGTGTATTGTCATTCTGATTCTCCATTGTCTCTTTATTATTGTTGTTTCAGACTTCTTTGCATGTCTGTTTGTCCTTGAAGATGTTTACACCCTCTGTTGCTCCTCCTGAAGTTTCTTACTTTTAACCCTATTTATGTGTTTTCCATTAGATGGTCTTTAGATGGAGGCTGTATTCCAAAGCCCTTTGAGGCAGTGGTGATTTTGGACCTTGTAAACAAAAAAAACGGTATCATGTGTTTCCAAATGGGCAGCTTTGGACTTTTAAGGTGGTCTTAAAGAGCACATATAATATTCATTTTCAGTTCCATATTTGTAGTTTGTGCCTCTATACTGTGACATGTCTCCATGCTTTAATGTTCAAAAAGGTCTTTATTTTTCTCGTACTGCCTGTGCTGCAGCACCTCTTTTCACCCTCTGTCTGAAACCAGAGCCCAGTCTGCTCCGATTGGTTAGCTGGCCGCTTCGAAATCCGCTTCGAAATCACATACAATGTGTTGGAGCGCCAGCCAATAGTATCCTGAGTGTTGCGTTGTGATGTCGCTATGTTACAGAAGAAAACAAAGGAGTCCAATTGAGGTGTTTCAGGCAGGCGGGGAGTGTCTGGGAGAGAAACTCCCTCTGGAGGGAACTTTGGGATTTTAGCCTTTGCAGACCTCCCACATGCACACAAACCTATATAGAACACTACAGGAAAGGGTTTTGCAGAATTTCTTATAAGCAATGACTTAACTATACAAAACACTTCCCAGTCAGGGTTCATTAGGACTCAACCGGGATCGTTTTCAGGAAATACTTTGGTTTTTCTTACCCTCCTTATCACGATAATTAAAAAGCCCATTTACATTATGCAAATAAAGAAAATTAAAGGGAAAGTAGAAATATATCTATGAATATTTGTTGACCCTATAGCAACATAGATTGTTAAGTGTGAAAGTGGCTCTGTGCTCATAAGTGCAGAGATAGGAAGGTGAAACCATGGCCTTTTTATTAAATTTGACCTGGGTGTGAGAATTAAGTGTGAGTTAAATCTTCAGTGGACTCCACATGGAGTTTCAAAACGATGACGGATATAACAGTTCATTATTCTGACTGACTTCTGGTCACGTTGACTCGGCAGGTTCCCAGACAGGGGGTCAAGGTTTACCCAGACCGTGGTCCTGGTTATAAATAGTTTCAGGGTTGCAGACAGCGGCAGCTTTAAAGCAGCGGAAAGAAAAGAAAACTTGTTCAAAGGCAAAACGGATCCTGATCCCAGTTTTTGGCAGCGGACAAAAGGGCCGAGGGGAGATCAAGTTACTGCCATGTGACACTGAGGAATCTCAGGCCTGCACTCCCTCTGATTAAACATTATACACTCTCAGACAGAAAACTGCACACTTGCCATAATGCTCTACACTTATTAAACAAACATTAGCTGAATTAAACACCCTGCAGCTACTAGAAATGAAAAATCATCCCACCAGAAATGATATTGTAATTCTTTATGTATGCAATATGTTGTTAATATTCACTCGCAGCGCTCTACAAAATCCTTAAAGGATTGGTATAATTGGATATAAAAATATATTTCAACCCCCCGAGTTATGCTTCTAGTCATGCAAAATATTGTTTATTGACAAAATATGTTAATGGTAACCAATAAATGCCTTTAGTAAGATAAAGTAGCCATAAACTGCCACCGGGGGCATGAATGTGATGTCTATGTGATTACAAAGTCAATATTTAAACATTTTAAATTATTGAAGCGACATCATAGGATGAATAAATTAGATAAATTGGAAATTAAGCACATCACACCAAATTTGACTATTAATAATTCATCAAGTTGTAAAAAGCCCTTAATCAGTAATATATATTAATTGGTTTCCCTCTAACTTTTTCATTTCTACAGATTTTTTACTTTACACCTTGGAAAAAGGAGAATAGAATAACTACCATGAGGTCCTTTGAAAATACAAAAAAGACAATACATCACAGCATAATACCACATAATTCAAAATCAGTATATAAATATATAATGGACCAATAAGAAATAAAATATGTTAAAGGCTATATAATTATAGAGACTCACATTATAGCCACTAATTGCAGTTCCCATCTGCAAAAATAAGATTTTGGTATAAAAAACATTGCCTAAAAAGTAATAAGTGTTATGATACAAAGGTTACTACAAAAACTCCTTATATTCATTTAAAGTGAAAAAAAAGTTGTTTATGACATCACTTTAAGAGGCATGGAGTCACAAAAATGATTTATTTTCTACATGAGGGCAAATAAAAAATATAATAATATTTAGAAAATTATACAAAACCTAAAGTTCCATTGACCAGATCAAGACAACATTGAGTAGATAAAGTGAGAACGAACTTCACAGATGATTAATTATTTATGTCAATCTCAGATTTTGAGGGTTAGAATAAAGAATTCTGATCATTTCACACTTATTCATAAAAACAACAACAACAACAACAACCTTCCCCCTTTTAATCCCCAAGAAGCAGAGTCCCCCATCATGTGAGATTATGTTATCTGCGAGGTGGGTGGTGGAGGTGGAGGTGGAGCAGAGGAGAGGTGGGACGTCCCCCTGGAGAGAGGGAAGGACGATCAAGAAAAGAAGAAGGAGAAGAAGAAGAAGAAGAAAAAACACTAGAAGAAGAGTGAGTGAAGGGGGGAACACAAGAAGATCGCTGCACCGCAAGAAGTGACTTCAGACACCGCGCAGCCCTCGCTGTCCGCCCGCCTCTCTTCGTCATGCGCCTCGGGTTTTAAAAGCGTCCCGGCTGCTGCTTCTGCTGCTGGGGAGAGGACGTAGCACCTTGCATCTGGTAGTTATTTGAGTTTTGTTCCCGACCGGCTGAGCGGAGAGCAGGCGGAGAAGGAGAAGCAGGAGGTGGATACTTATCCAGGTTTTCGGGACTGCGCCGCATTCCTTCCCGGAGCGCAGCACTGTGGAGCCGGACCCGGTGCGCTCCGACTCCACCGATCCCTGGATCTCTCATGCTGGTTTTCTGCTACATCGCTAAATGAATAATGCACAGTGAGAACTGCACGAACTAAACAGATAAACAATCACACTTCGCGCGTTTCCCCCCCCTGACTGGATTTGGATTTAAATGCCCTTTTTGGCAGCGACCATGGGTGCATGGTGGATATTGGCTGGAGCTCTGGCTGGGATCCTCACCGTCCCCCGGGGCATAAATGGTTAGTATTTTTGCTCTCTTTTCACCAAACCAGTTGTTATGTAGGTCAAGGGTTATCAGGGACCACCATGCACTCTGACATGACACCCCACATTCACATTTACTTCTATGTGGGCCACTTTTTCAGCACTCAATCACAAGTCGGTCCAGGCTTCCTTTACCTTTTTTATTTGGAACAGTTTCATTTGACCCTGGCAGCAGTGAATGTAATGTATTCCTGAAGTTTGCCAGAACACCCTGGAATTCCCCGGAGGACCCCTGGAGTGGGCCAGGACCAGGGTTCGAGTTATAAACTGAGCTCTATGGGGGTCTTTAAAACTAACGCGTGCTTGCACACACACACACACACACACACACACACACACACACACACACACACACACACACACACACACACACACACACACACACACACACACACACACACACACACACACACACACACACACACACACACACACACACACGCACACACACACACACACACACACACACACACACACAGCAGCCCTCTACTTGCTACAAACTTAAATATGAAAAGGTTCAACTATGCACACACACATCATCTCGGCTCGCGCAGCACGCTCACAGGCATAGATTGCGCAATAATGTATTGCGCACCTTGGAGGTGCAGTGCAGGCATATTGTCATTCAAGAGATGCGTAGTTCTTTTGGAAAACATGTTTTTCTTTTATCCTATTTACCTCGTTAACGTAATAATATTCATTACATTGACACATGCGTTATTTGTGATTACAATAATGGTTGTTGGTAATGTATTAGCGACCCCCACAGATGTATGATTTCACTGCGTCCGTGGGAGCTCAGACCCTCCTTAAGGGAGCTCAGCTCCCATTGGCTCCCACATAACTCGAACCCTGGCCAGGACCCTAGCTGTTGGGACCCCCTGAGCAGGTTGTGGTTTCCCAGGGTCCAGAGCAGAGATTTAAATGTTTGCCAGTCAAGCTTCACCATTTGAAAGGTATCTCAAAAGAGAAAAGTAGTGAAATCAAAGATTCGAATCTCACAAGCAGTCATTTTATAGGATTTCTGAATGAGCACCTGTATGCATTCATCATCAAGTGATGCTGAGAAGACGCATCCATACTCAGAGTAGTCAAATTAGCCAGAAGGCATTAAATAATGTTTTAAATGGTTTAATGCAGTATACGTTGTTATATCAGCATTTCAGTGACTATATTTCTGGGAGTCAGGACACTGAAGCATTGCAATAGTTTAAACAAGCTGTTGTATGTATGCAAAGTTATTTTCCTTATTCAAATCAAATTTGAGATGATATTTTACATCTCTTGACCTGCAAATCCATTCGTAGTGAGACAGAAGTGAAGTCAAACTTCAGAGACACTGAACATTCAAGAAAACTTTTGGCAAACCCCAATTTGAACCATTTCACTAGCCACAATTTAATTTAATAGGGGTTTCAAATGAGCACATGTTAGAGAATGTTCTCTTCTATTTTACATCAATAAGTTGGAGTTTAGCTGTTCATGATGGCCTGAAAACAGCACCCTGTACTCAAAATAATCTGATGTATTATTTTGCAAGCGATTCATTTGTTATTAGCAGGTAAAAACATCTGCACTTCTGAGTTGAATGTTGAAAAGTAGAAGATTTACTGTTGTTGAAGCAATTTTTCAGTGATATTCAATGTAGTTAAGACATGCTTTAAATCTAAGAAACCCAATTTATATGAACTGTTTTATGTATCCTAGACATCAATACTTTATGGGATAGCAGTGGAGTCATGCTTCACAGTTAGTTTGAGAAGGTATAATTTAAAGATGATGGAATACATTCAGTTATTTGCCTAAAAAAACACAGGCATTATCAACCAAAAATAATCATAGAGCTGAGTGAGAATAATCTGCTTTACGGATGATAATCAGCAGCTGCCTGTTGTGCATTTTCTTAAATATCCAAACATATTGAAAAGTGTTGCAGCTACTGGCCCTCTGTGCCATTGGAATATTCCACTCTGCATCACATCTAAAAGGTCTGCCCATGCACAGCTACAGTTTTCCCATCAGGGGAGTTATAATGCACAAGACTGTGAGGAGCAGAATCTAAAGCAGCTGTTACTGAACTGCCCCATTCAAGGTTTCACTGAATCAAACTCGGGCTTGTTAACATCACAGTCGGGTGCCTGTGGGGAAGAGTCGGGCTGCATGCTCAAAATCTGGCAGGTGAATGTGTTTCTGGTCACGTGCTGTGGCAAAATGTCAGACTTTTTTGTATTCATTTCCAAAACCATTAGCATCTTCTCTCATCCATCTCGGCATGCATCCAATCTTCTTGGCATCACTTACTTCAGTAAAATTCAAACTTTCATAAAGATGCTCCTTCCACTGCATCCAGAGCACGTTGCCGTTGGATCCACCAGAGCAAAGTAGTTATAAAAGTTGAAATGTTATCGACATGAAGTGCATGCTGCTCGATGGACAGGGTGGATGCTGCGATGAAGAGAGCGCTTCCTGTTTGGAGTCAAGACACGTTTATGTCATGTTGGGCTTTCAGTTTAGACTCATTTACATGTAGCTCTGAGCATCTGCAGGATTATTATCCCAAACCAATCCAATTCACTCACCTTTGGAGTTAACTTGATTGTGAGTTAGGGCTTGGCGCCAAATGTTCTATCACAATACGAAGTAACCAGACTCTTTTGGTGCAAGGTGCCACTTCCCCAGCATCATAAGCAGTTAAATGTACTCTGTATGATACGAGAGAGGAAAATATCCTAGTATTTTTTTTAAATGAAAGAGTGCTACTGTGAGTTGGAGTCAGGCAGCAGTTCTGTGTTGTTGGGTTTAAATTTGGTGTTTGCTAAAAAAAGAAAGTTTCTCGAAAGAGTAGAGTTTTCCCCAAAATAAATAATATTGTCAAATATGTGCAGGCCTATAGAATGACTCATGTTTTGGGTGTTGTTTGATGCCTATTTCTTGGAAGTCTGAGGGGAATAACTCTAAAATTAAAGTTCTTCTCTTCAGACTATGTCAGAACCAAAACATGAAAGATGTGTATAGTCACTCCAAAAAGGACAGAGTTATGTTGCAGTGTCAAGCTATCATTTTGAATTCTTGGTGATGGTTTCATAAAACCGAAGACTTGAACTGCAACACTGTATGTGGCTTCTTTTGGAGTAACGTAAGTGTCTAATATTGAAATATATGTTAAGTTAGACAAAGATGTTGTACTTTTAAACTACAGTATGTACAGAAGTGAATCAATTGTAGTATAAAAAGGGTTTATTTTGACGCCAAGACTCACAATTAAGTTGTTTTATTTGTATTGCCAAGTATTTCCATGCACCTTGGAAGTAGGTATTTTGTGCCAGGAATCCCTACTTGTGTACTTGCAGAAGCAAATTCTGAATATTACACATCTTTTTAAAACTGCAAATTGAATTACAGTTGCTCATCACTCATGTCACGCTAACTTAAAGCCGCTTAAAAGTGTTAATTGGCTTTTGACAACAGCTTTCACTACTGTGAATCTTCCAACAGCTGATTTATAAATCAGATTATAATTTGCATTTAAGAGATAAAGAGATGACAACATGAAGCAGCAGCATTACAAACAGACTCGCTGTAAAACTGTACTCATGTTTTGTGGATCTGAAACATTACAGTAAATGTTTACCTCCATTGTGCTAGCTGTACTTTTCCCCCTGAGGCATCTCAGGTTTCTTCAGTCTAGCTTTGTGAGGCCCAGACCTCAGGCTGATTCTCAGGCGCGTGTCCCTCTGTCTTTCCTTGTTTTCGTAACATTTAGCCTTCAAATTGAGCTGAGATAATCATCAGCACTCTGTCATTTCACTGTAAAGGTCACATATTTTCTGGTTGGATATGTTCTAAAAGCCCTAAAATGCCACTGTTCATGATGCACTTCATTATAAATCTGGGTAAATGCTCAATTTAGGAGTTCACAGACCAAACTAAAATACTTTTACTAAATTCTAATTTGAAATTATAACATTAGGTGTACAGTATCAGGTAAAGGGTAGAGTTTGAGTGTATTTTTGAGAAATTATGAAGACGAGTATTTACTGGTAGTTTTGTGGTAACATTTGCCAAAGATATTTTAGCTAGCATTAGCTTAAAGGTGGGGTATGTAATTTATGTCAGAAACCCTTTTTGTTATATTCCATGGAATGCTCTTAACATCCCGATAGCAATGAATATCTTAAGTGCTTTGACAAAAAATCCATTAAAAAATGTCATCTGTGGAAGCCGTAGTACTGTAAAAAGTACGACCAATCATTTTAGCCGGCCCGGCTAAAATAACTGGATGGCCTACCTGCCTGTCAGCCTTCCATCTGTGCACAAACTTATCTCGTGTCCTCATTGGTCATGTGCGCGTTCGTGTGTGTTGGAGGAGGGGCTCTTTAAGGAAGTCTGAAGGAAGAGGCAGATTTTTTCCAGTTGTGTACTTTCAAATTCTAGCGCACTCGAGCTGGTTTCTCCAAAATGACATTCCCCACCTTTAATGCTAGTTAACACTTTAACTATAGGGACTTTTGTCCAAATTCTGCTAGCTAATTTTAGCAGGCAATGTTGAGTGTGTGTGTTTGTCCTTACTGTGAAGTTGAGTAACCTTTGCTTGTTAAAATAAATGTGTTTTGTTTCAACATTTCTCTTGCCTGTTTACATGCTATTGCTAGCTAAATAGGGATTATCATACTAGTTACCTGGTTTCTTTAAATGTGCTTGCTTTTTTGATGTTTTGTGATGGAATAGCCTTAATAAGTAGTAGGGAGGCAGTTCAGTGTTTAATGACGATTAGCAAAGGTTTCTGAAATTTGTGTTAGCCTACTCTTCCCGCTAGCTTTAGCTTTGAAAGGTGGTGTTGGCGTGGCTTCAGCGGGATTTGTTTTTATTGTTCAACCCGTTTTTTGTTTTGAGTATTTACCTGTCTGAAAACCCTAAATAATATCCTGCATGCACATATTCTTGGTTTACCTTACTAACGATTATTTTGTCATCAATCTCTACATGTGATGAGGAATTTAGTGGCAGCGTCAGCTGTAGTTCATCTGCTTGAGCTGTATGTTGTGTGATCCAGCTGATGTTCATGTGTTCAGGTGTCGAACTAGCCTAAGTTGAACAATGTGTAGTTTAACTTAAAACAACGCTTTTCTAAATACTACAATGTTAGATTGTTTTAGGATTGACAGAGTGGGAAATGGCCTGAATTGGGCTCTAAGGGAAAGAGAACATCACCAACATTTGGCAAAGAATGTCTATATTTATTATAGATAAAGCTGTGAAAACAATAATTATTTGCTCTCCTGCATGTGCTTGCTCTGAAAACTATGCAAACTCACGCATGTGATTTATTTCATACAGTTTCAGAACAAAAAAAGCGAGTCCCAGTATTTTTGTTTTTAAAAGTTTTGAAATTATGCTGCATGAACTTTGATACTAAGAACGAAACTGAGTTGATAGTTTTCAATGATTGTTGAATGAGTGCAGACAATCAGGTCTGTACTCATGACAGGTTTCCTATTGTTAATCTCTAACTGCAAAAATAGAGAGAGGAATGCTTCTTGGCAAACAAATACATTTTTGATTCAATATCTCAAACTTCAATGTAAATTTGTGGTTGCGTGTCAGTCAAATCAGAATTCCTGCAACATGTGAACTTTAAAGTTTTGGTATTTCATGGCTTTTATAAAGTCAAGGAGATTTTAAATATTTGTCCTTGGATTGTTCTCCTGTAGGGTTTCAGAATCAGTGTTACAGAGATGTATTGAACACTTTTAAAGTATGCAGCGATACACATGGCATAACAGCTTTACGGGGACAGGTTTACATAATCCCTAACAATAAAAAAATACAATTACCTGATATTTGGAAAAGTGTGAACATGTGTGGACTCTAATGCTAATGATTTTCTCTCTCCCTCCCCTCTGTCTGTCATCCTAGGAGCTTGTATCTACGAGGGATCGCTGTATGCGGTAGGTGAAACCACCCTGTCTTGTCCTATTTTACCTCCCGTATAACTGTTTAAGATTTCCTCCCCGTGCGCTCTAACAATTAGGAACTTGGATCCGTCCGTGAAGTCTAATGTGTATATGCTCATGCATTATTCAAAGCGGACATCACCCGGTTAGCATGACTGACGGTTAAAGCTGTGTGTATGTGCAATTGTAAAAAGCGTGTATATTATCAGTAGGGATTGCTGAGTATCCTCAGTGGTCGGAGATGTAGCTGAGAAGATGTGTCTCATCTATAATGCATGCCTCATACTGACTTTGTGGATGATAATGGCGGTGAGAGAGAGCATCTTTTAGCCCGTCTGTTAAAAGAAGAGCATCGGCCCCCGCTGCTCTGTTCGATTGAAGGTTAGGTTCTTTGCAAAGTTTGAAATAAGTTTTGGATGAGCTTTATTCCCGAGCTCTGCTGGGGATTGGCGAACATTCAGGGTTTTTGCTCTGAGTGAGGTTTTTGTTTTAATAATCTTAAAACCCAGCTGCAGGGTCCTCGCATCCTGGCCTGCAAATGATTTGAATGTTTCAAGGGTTGTGTCTGGCTCGAGGCTCTGACAGACGAGATGTCGCTTTGTTCACCTGCGCAGGCTGCCAAGGCTTGCCCTCCGTCATACCTTTCAACATTTCCACTTGAATTATGAGTTTGAGCTTTAAAAAAAATTGAGTTTGACAGAGGTACTTACACATTTTGTAATGAAAATATATGCAAAACATAGACAGAATCAAAGCAAACCAGTATCTAATAAAACCTTTAACATTGCAGCTTTTATTTGCCATTAACTGCCTATTCATTACAAACTGCTTTACAAACCTTTCTTTATCGAGCTAGTTGTCAAGATCCTTTCTTAATGCCAGCATTGAGTAAAGGGTCTTTCCTGCCCTAAGTGATAAACAATGAGCAGTTTAGGACTTTCAATGCCAGCACAGGTTATACTTTAAGGTGATTTCGCCATGAGATAACTCTGTCTCCTCTTGTTGGTTGAAAACAGGTAAAAAATGAATGAAATCTCCTGCTGTGCACTTTAGAAAAACACCACCTATGTCTTGAAGCAACTGGTAATCTCTACTAAAAAGCCTTAAACATGGTTCTCAGCGCTAGAAGTTTTTGGTTCCCATGCAAAATAATGATGAACTCCTGCTTCGTTCCTGCTGTGTTATCAGTGTAATTACAGTAAAGCTTAACACGATGAGCAGTAACATACCTGCAACTATATGTTCAATCCTGTAAATGCATGAGAACACATCCTGCCCCCCTGGCTTTGAAGGGAGGTAATTGTAAGGACGAGGATGTGGAGACAAATATGGTTCATCAGTGTTTTAGGAGGGAAGAGTGTGGTGGTGTAGGTATGAGAAGGGAAAGGAGGAGGTGGAGGGTTTTGTGGGAAAAACGGGAGACAGGTGGGACGTCCCAGCATGTTGGAACAAAGTCGGGAAAAGGCCCTTCTGGGAGTTCAAAGTGAAGAGCTCCCTCCCAACACCTGGATTGGTGGGCAGAGAGGAACAAATGGAAAATAAGGAAACAGATTAAAGTGCAGAAGCCCTCAGGCCCCCTCTGTGTGGTGAAAATAATCAAAGGAGCAAAACAGCCTTGTCACACATGATCAGTGTCCTATTTCTTATTTTTCCAGACCTTCATTTCTTTATTTAATTAGTTATGGTGTTGAGCTTGATTTATGCTCAATAATAACTCGCGTTCAAAGGTCACCATGGTCATACTTCACAGCTTGATTTAAAAAAAGGCATAATGGCACAATTATATATGTCAGATGAAAGGCATATTGAAACACATGTTATACACAGTATAATGGGGCAGTAAGACATCGTTTTCATATCATTTTCTAAGGTTTCTTCAGCGATTTTAAAATGTTTGCCGAGTCAATGTTAACGTGTACTTCAGGAACCAGGTTACAGTGTGATTATTCCAGTAAGCAGATTTTTTAAACCTCATTTTAACATAAAGCGGGCTTCTGTAACACCGGATTAGAGAAATTCGATATCCCCAGATAGATTTATCCCGGAGAATGTTCATTTCCTGTGCCTTGTTTGTAGGTAAACATTGATCTAATCTCATTTTACATGTAAAAATGTACATTACAAAGACTCCAGACAGGGGAATAAACAGGTCTTTATCACTATTATGATCTCATACTACCACCTAAGAAACATCTCCAAAATGCGACACTCCCTCACCAAACCGGATGCAGAAAAACTGGTCCATGCCTTCATCACCTCCCGCATTGATTACTGCAATTCTCTGCTTGCAGGCATTCCAGCAAAAACCATTCAGAGACTGCAATATGTACAAAACTGTGCCGCCCGGATACTCACAAAAACACGCAAATCAGAGCACATCACCCCCATCCTTCACTCACTCCACTGGCTCCCTGTAACCCACCGGATCAACTACAAAGTCCTCATAATGGTCTTCAACGCCATCAACCACACTGGCCCCACCTACCTACAGGAACTGCTAATCAGAAAACATTCCCATACCTCACGCACACTCAGGTCAGACAGCTCCAATCTCCTGGCTGTCCAAAACTGGTCACCATGGGAGACCGTGCTTTCTCCTCCCTGGGTCCACGTCTGTGGAATCAGCTTCCAGAGAACATACGGACCTCAGCATCACTCTCAGTTTTTAGGAAATGCCTCAAGACCTTTTATGCTCTTAACCTTTTATTTGTATTTATTTTTATATTGCCATATTTGATCCAATATGCTCCTTTAGATAACTTTTTACTTATTGTTCCTTATAGCTTTGTGAAGCACCTTGAGATGACGTTGTCTTTAAAGTGTGCTATATAAATCAAATGTATTATTATTATTATTATTATTACTATTACAGCCATGCTCTCTACAGTATATGAGGTTTAAGTGAAAGCTGATTACTGACCAGCTGCATGTTTATGTGGATTTACCTACTTACGCTCTACAATGGCATGTAAACACGATTACCTCTGTGACCTGGTTACATAAATACAAGATATAAGTACATTGAGTACATTGACAAGAAAAATAACTAAGGACTCGATGGTGGTTGAAGATGTGGACAAGCTAACCCAAAGCTAACCCAAAGCTTGCACAGTATTTGGGTGGTCTATAGATATTTAGGAACAGAGCTCGAGAGGAGCATTTCAGCTGAAGGGCCACATATTTAAAAGAAGCAAAGTTCCCATAAGATGTCTTCCTGCATCTAAGGCTAAATATGTGTTGAAAATAGCATACAAAAAGTATTGAGGTGCTGCAGGTATATTTCGAGGCAATTGAAATAGTAAGATATTTAGGAGAAAGTCCTCATACTTTCCCGCAGAGGAAAGTCTGTTGTCTTTTGGTTACATTTCCACTGACAAGTGGTAAGAGGCAAGGAGAGACTGTGTTCGGCTGATGTTCCACATCCACTGTAAATCATTCATCAGTCAGCTGTCTCCAAGATCCTGTAACCGGTGAATCCGAACAGTCCCACGCAGAGAGTTGTCCTCAGAGGAGCCTGAAATGCTGGTTGTAAACAGTATGTGACGTCACCCTCAGGTCACCTAAAACATCCCAATCCTGTCAGCGCATGTCAGCTCGCACCCTTACATCATGTACAAAACATACTGTAGCTGCCATTGGAGGAAGACACTCCTATTGTTTAGTTAGCACCACTCTAACAACCACTTTTGTCTTGCTTTTGTCTTCTTCTACTATTAGTATTCATTCTCGGGACAACTGACCCTGCAGTAGTCGAAGTGTTTATCCGCTCCTTCTCTGATCAGCAGTAATGGAAACATGACTTCCTGTGGACAGTCTTATTTGACTTGTTGAGAACTTGTTTAATATGCCAAGGAGCAAGTTATTGGTTGCATTTGAATCATGAAGTTTTACATCCAACCAAAGAGATTGTGAAGTCACAATGAACAAATGAATCAGAAAATACTTAAATATTTAGTGGAAATACCGTCTTGAAATAAAATACAGTCCCCCCAGTCGATTACAAGTAGAGGCCAAGAACTTCAAATAGTGATCTATATTACTGGTCAATCAAAGACACGTCTCGGCTATACTACAACCTGCAAAGTATCTTTCCGTAATGTAGTGATGAAGGAGAAAGAACCAATACCTCCAAAATGCACTGCATACTTGAGTAAATGTTGCTATATCCTCCTGCAATTCAGGAACTCATGCGTCCTGACATATTGAAATAACGGAAGACTTATTGCAGGGGTGCTGCCAGGCCTGACATGCTGTTGAATTACAGCGTATAGCTGCACAGTAAAGGACTGTACGGCTTGGCAACATGCAGCACCATGTCCAAATATATCTCCTCCCCCCTCGAGGCCTGAATTCCTGGCATTGCAAGTCGCCATTTCTGTCGGAATCAAAATGTAGGGCACCTCAAGAATAGCACCATTGGGACAGAGGTCCGGGCAGTAACGGCAAGGTTTTACAAAGAGGGCAGAGCCAGGGATTTGACAAAGCATTAACCTGAACAGATTTGAAACGTTTCGTTGGTACATCTCCAAACCACACGATCACACTTGTCATAGTGGGTTTATTCCAGTCCTGACCGGTCCCAGTTAAATTCTGCTCGTCTCGTCCCAGTCTTGCCACTTTGTGCTGAGTCATTGTTCTCCCATGTTAAGCATTGACAAGCTCTAATCTGAAGGTAACCAGTTCTTAAGTGAAAACGATTTACATTTGAGATAGGATCTTTTTACAGAAATGCCTTCATTTACACAGATTGTGTTTACATTATGGCAAACCAGAAAAATGTATTTTTGAACCACTGTAATCTTTAGGAAGTTCTTAAAATGCAGTTGGAGTTGTGGTCACTCCAAGGCCTTTACAGTTTGTGCATTACAGACTTATCTGCATTTATCCCTTCCTTTTTAAGTGGTGTTCTGTTCATAAAACAAGGGGAATCTACTCGTTCAACTCTACCCAAAGAAATGTGTTTCGTGTCTCTTCCCCTCCCCCTGTCTGCTTTC